AATGTCTGTTAGTCGAGTGATGAAAATATGATGTGGCGGACGTAGGGCAATTATGGTTATATGTAGGTTGAGAGATTCAATAGATATAATTGATTGACAGTACTTTCAAATTTGATAAGTTATATGAATTTGTCATCGATTATATCGATAAGTTGCAACTTTTAAAAGAACGCGTCTCTCCTGAAAAGTATCAATCTTTATTCTTGAAAGAAAGATATTTAGAGAAATCTAATATACGAAAATCAATCCTATAATGAAGATTTGGATAAGCTGCAACAATTTATCATATATTTCAATCTAACAATTCGATACATGTAAAGTCAAAAGTGTTACTATTTACAGAAGGAAAAAAAATCAACAAATGATAATTACAAAGTACAAGCCCGATGCTACACCTATATACTCAGCTGTAAATTCAGCCACGCAAAAGGTCTGTTCCGATCCCTTCCACAATTTAAATTAAGTCAAAACTTGGTGACAAGCTTTAATTTTTCTGACTATTTTCCTTTCATGGGTTGGGTGGATAGATTCACGGGGTTTCACAGTCGTCTCGACAAGACTTTCAAAGAAATCGTTGATGAACATCATCCAATAAATGGACAGTTTGAATTAAATACTTAATAGGTTTGATGGGTGGCTTGGAAAATTGATGATTGATCAATGTATCGTTATTGTAACTTATTCGCTACTTGCTCTAGTTTGTAATTTGTAGAATATCATTTAAGTAACGATCTGCTATTATTTGTATGGGGATGTAGAATTTGTTATGTGAATATTTCAGAATTTTTTATCATTTTAATAGGCTATCTGAAGCTTCTGTAGCATTGCCACTGCTCCACTAAGGACTGCATATGCTACCATATTAATATTGCAGGTAAAATAAAACATCAATTTAAAGGAAATATATTTTTCTAGAGATTATAAGTTCAAGCAGTTGAGGGAATATATACATTATCAAAAATTAAAAAAAAAATTGTATATCTTATAATCATCCCATATTATTTTTAGAAAACTTTAAAATAAATGTGTTAATTGAATGACAAATTTGTCTTGATTAGCAGGAATTACGTGGAAGACAAGCTCTTGTCTCCCATCCCATGTGAAATCCTCATCATTTCTTATATTGTACTGGTCAACCAAGAAACCTATATTCCTTTGGAAATAATACAAGAAATTGAACTTGACGTGGAGGAACCAAATTTATTTTATAACTTTTACTTGTCTCGTCCAATTACCTGTTTTATTTATTAAAATTAACAACAAAAGATTTGAAATTAATTGTATATTAATTTTCATATGTACTTCCTTTCGGATATACTTTTAAGGATAATAATTCGGATCGTGGATTAAGGTATTTATACATATTCGACATTTCTGTGAAGTCGGATAATATGTAATTTTAAATGCTAAAATTACTATTTGTAATGAATTTATTGTGGATATTGATATATATTATTGAGTTTTCATTATTTGAATATACATCACGTATATGAATGTAAATTATGAATTTAGATATCTAAATCTATTTTACAATTAAAGATGGTAATGAGCCGGGTTGAGTCAAGTTTTTGATTAATTAGACTTCAAAAGCATATCCATTCACTCGAATTAGACTTGAGTTTAAAGAGATTCGATCTGACTTGAATTCTGACTCAAATTTTAGGCTAAAAATTTACTTTCAACCCAAAATAAATATTAAAAAAATATTATAATTAGGCAAAATATAAATCTATATGAAAAATTATAAAAAGGGGAGTGTTATAGAAAACCTTAAATATATAGAAGAATCACACCATCATCACAGGTCGGGTCAAGTTAAAGATTTTTCACTCTAAATTAGAACTCAATTTAACCTGATCTTGTCATTTACAAAACTCGACTCAATCGAGCTGGATCAAATCAGAATATGTCAAATTTTGATCAAATTACCGTCTCTACTCATGATTATAAAATTTTAAAAATGTATTTTATTTCTAAGATGATTCAAACATTGATCATCTAACTTTGAGTAAATTTATATTCTGATATTTTATAAATAATATAATATTTTGAATTCAAATATTTTACAAATTTTAATATATATATATATATATATATATATAGTAAAGTAATATTTAATTTAAATTCAAATAATTTCTTTATAAATTAAATAGACCCTGATAATTTAAAATTACAAATATGTCTGAAATTATTTTTCTAAACTACACAAGTTGCTCCACATTCCCGTTCATAATTTTTTAAAAGTAAAGTAGTTTTAATTTTATTGATTATAATGATATGTATATTTTTAATTATTATCATTTAAAACATATTACCAAAATATCTTATACAGTGTTTAGATGATAGCACGATTAAATACAATAATTAAACAAGTTGGCATGATTAATTAAATAGTTCGTGAACCAATATGACACCGTATGAGAAATAAATTGTCTAATAATTAAGATAATACTAAACATCAAATTAAATAACTTTGTGATACGTTCATTTTAATTCTAAAATTTCTAATAACAAAAATAGTATTTATAATTTACTTGATTTTTTGCATGTCCTGTTTGGTCTTTTCGCTCTAGGATGTTCAGAAAAGGCTTGAAAAGTCAAAGTCTGGAGTTAAAAGAAAACAAGTCGAAAGGGATGTCGGCTTCCCGCCGTCAATCCTAGAGATAAGGTTAATCTATGAACCGGTGACTCAAAATTAACCGTGAAATGTATTTTAATTTAAATGCAATTATAACATATAATTTTAAATTTAGATTACTTTATACAGTTAGTTTTTATTTGTATATATATTAGTATGAATTGTTATTGATTTATTGTAAAATTTAATACATTTAAATATATTTTTCTTTTAATTTAAAATTTTAAAAGAGTTATAATAATTTATGTGCTATATAAAAGAAATCAGCATAAACTATTATTTAAATATGTGGCGCCTCAACTTGTGGTGGTGCAAGGTTGACTTTTTCTTATCTCTCGATTTGGTTTTTTTGGTTTGGCATGAATTATTATTTATTGAAAATTAAATTTATTTAAATTTAAATATAAAGTATTAATATTAAATAATATTTTAATGTTCTCTAAACAGTCAAACATGCTACTTGGTTGGTCTGATTAATTAAAACCTTATTTTGTCAATGCTATTTGAAGATATATATTTTTTCCTTTTAAAAAACAAAAACTTTTTTAAGTGGGAATATATGCACTTCTTGTTAACCTTTTTATTTGAGATATGTTTCTAAAAGTTTGACATTTTGGTATTTTAAAAAATAATAAATAGGGCAAACTACATATTTAGTATTTAAACTGTCAATTTTGTTTAATTTTAATAACTAAACATTCATTTGTTTCAAAATCATACTTAACATTTACTTTTTGTTTTATTTTGGAACCTCACTCCTATTTTGGTCAATGAAGTTTAATTTTCTTTTATTTAATTACTTAAATTTCAAATTACTCCTAATTTAATCACTCTAACTTTCAAATTTACTTTTTTATTTTAATTATATATTAAAAAATAATTAAAAAATCATGTCACATAAATTTTTAATAAAATAAATTACAGTAATTAAAACAAAAACAATTTGAAAGTTGAGTAGTTAAAGTGAAAATTTCAAACTTTAGTGATCAAAATAGGAATGAGAAAATAGTTAAGCGATGAATGACATAATTTACCAATAAAAAATATCAGACGCAACAATTCCATTTAGTTTTTAACGGTGTGATACTAAAATGAAACAAAAAGTAAACGTTAAGAATGATTTTAAAACAAATGATAGTTTAGTTATTAAAACAAAATAAAAATAATAGTTTAAGAGTCAAACGTGTAATTTACCCTAATAAATAGTATAGTAATAAAAATGTTTGTTAGGTTTAGGGTCCAATCGAGACAACTTTAACTACGTCACCATCAATTAACAACTACTATTAGTATAAAATATCAGAGCTTTATCATAATATATATGGATAAAAAATTAATAAATTTTATATTAATTTAAAATTATTAAATGAATAAAATTTCATGTTATAGATTATTTTTATTCATTTAATAATTATAAATGAGTATAAAATTTATTAATTTTATATTATGTAATTAGATTTTAACTTGTATTGTTAAAACTAAATTGATATAAAATCAAGAATTTAAGATTTATTATATCAAATTATTAATAATAAAATATTAGATGCAAAAATGTATCCTAATTAATTTATAGGTTGAAATCCTTGAGTCTTTCTTTGGTTGTGATATTACAAGAAGATCAATTTACTCTTACCATAAAAATTCACTAACGGAATAAGAGTAATACAAGTTAACTTATTTATTAAGGATCAATACCTCTTTATAGAAATTAAGCATTAGGTCATCCTTTTAAATATTTATAATTCTTCTCCTCATCAAGTTGTAAATACAATTTATGGTATTTACATTTTAATTTTATGACATTTTAATACATGTAACATAATTAATCACTTAATTTTATGTTATACTTATAACAATATTGCACATCATACATATATACCCACAATTATAAATTTTAATCCACCGTGTATATATATATATTAACAAGTAAGTCGAATGGATGCAATGTTGGTGTGATAGAGGAATGTTCAAAGAGGTTTTGAATTTGAAACTTAAATTTTAATTTTTTTTATTATATGATCAACTAATTTAAAAAAATTGTTTATTTTTTTAATTAAATAAAATATATATATCAGACAAGTGTTGAAAATAAATATTTTTATGAAATTGATTAAATTAAAAGAATTTTTATTATAAAAAAACAGATCATACGTATTAATCATTTTGTGTTTGTGTATTATTCTTGGATACAACAATAACACAAAAATTATACACAAAAAAATCAATAAAAAATATCGTTCATAAACGTCCTAAAAGCTGCCACGTATCTACAAGGCTCGTAGATTCTGTCCTTCCTAATCCTCGTATGAATTGTCTTTTCACTTCGGTGAGGTAAATTAAGCCACTTGGCTGATAATTTTTGTCTACTGAGTCTCACACCTCACCCGAGTTTGCTGAGTCTCCTCATCCCCACCTCGCTCGATATCCGACTCTGAGACATTGATTGATCCACTCCCTCTTCGTTCTCTACTCAATATCCTCTTAAACGACAACATACGAGTCATCGGCGATTTATAAGGTTGGCTTGGTCCTGAGTCACACCCACTCGATTCACTTACAAAACCTTCGGTATTTCTTCTCGGAACCTCGACCGACAACTTCCTCCTAGACTCAACGGCCGACGGACCTACCTGTTGCTCCTCGTGCTCACACGTGGAACACAAATCGGAGCCCCGATTCGATCCAGATTCCCCGCCTGATGGTTCATTAACGGTTAAAACTACATCTCCCGGGTTCTCAGATACGGGTACAGGTCCTTCGACGGGGGTCCGACAAAGAGGACACGTGGAATGAGAGTGAAACCACATATCGATACACTCTAAATGGAAGCTATGCTTGCATTTGGGCAATACCCGACCCGACTCGTTCTCTTCGAATTCCGATAAGCAAACGGCGCATTCGAGGGCGGAATCCGGGTGAGTCTCGGTGGAGAAAGTGAAGACCGGGAGAGACTTGAGCACGCGCGCATCCAGGCCGCGCGTCGCGTCTAGAGCGTTGTGGTCAACGTAGAAAACGAGCTGCCTTCGCCGTCGGTTCCGTCTGCCGTTGGGGGAACGAAGGTTGCGGGCACGGAGGAGCATCCAGCGGGCGTAAAGATGAAGGACGAACGCGAGTATGACGACAAAGAACAAGACGACGATGGTGCTGAGCATGATTCTGCCGCTCAAAGCATAGCCGGCATTGTCATCCATGGGAACATCAGAGGAATCGCCGAATCTATCCGAGTTGCTGTTACCGCTCATTGTGTTTTGAAGCTTTGAACTATTTCAACTATGGAGTCGGGTTTTCGGTTTTGAAAGAGAGGATTGGATTGGAAGGGCTTTTAAGTGAAAAGAGCTGAGATGTTCGACCTTTTTAGTCGACGGACGCCCTGGTTGACGATGGAATTTATCAATTGACTTTAATGCCCTTAAAACTTTTCAATATTTCATTTGTATTTTGTATTTTTATTCACATTTAAAGAAAATGTTAATATTGACAAGGAAATAGTTTAAATTTGATTCGTGTGTATTGTGTAGTCATTTTAGTTGTAGTGTACATTTATTTTTGGTAGGGTATTTTTTTCCCTCGAAATTTTATTAATTTGGTCGGTTTAACATTTAATTTTGCGCGTGTTTCATTTATATCAAATTAATCTAAATGTAATAAAATAATAATAACATTTTACGATGACATCATTTATTATTATTTTTATACCACATCATTATAAATTTTAAAAAATTATCTAATTTGTACTTACTGAAATATTGTATCAGTTTCTCTATTTATATCTTTTTTTTAATTTTTGAGGATGTAGGAAAAAAAAGTAATTGTATAAGATGTCTTTAAAGTACAACACATTTTAAATTAGTATCTAAAATTTAAACTATTTTGTACTACCCCAAATTATAACTAAATTGATCTCTAAAGTTTAAACAATATTATATCAATCCTCAAACTATCAATATTGTTTCATTTTGATCTTTTTGTTAATGTCTCATTAACTCTATTGGTTACAAAAATATTTGTTTTTTAAGGTCATGGGAAATTGAATCCACGACCTTAAAAATAACCTTTCAAATCTGATAGAGTTAATGACAATATAACATAATGATCAAAATGTAATGATAATGATAGTTCGGGGACTGATATGGAATCTTTTAAAATTTAGGGACCAACTTAGAATGGAGATAAAAGTTTAGAGATTGATATGTAATATTTTAAAGTTTAAAGATCAATCGAGAATTGGGATAATAGTTTAGTGACCTCTTATACAGTTAACTCAACAAAAAATGATGAAATAAATAATATAAACATTTTAATAAGGATAGAATAATACTATCGTTTTGTGAGTTAATTTAACCCCCCAAAAAGTAAAAAAGAACATAATACAAATTAAAGGATTGAATTGATTAAAATGATAAAATTAAAGAGCCGAAAAGATCTATCACTATTTTCAATTGATGGGAACTAGTGAAATTAAACTTAATAAAAGGGTTAAAATATTACTTTATTGATCATTTGAAGTTAAATATTTAAAACTTTTAAAGTAAATGAAATATCTTTAGAATCGAAGTTAATTAAAATTTGAAAATAACATAATCCTTAGTTTTTATCAAATATTTCAAGAGTTATACACCCTACCTTATTGCTCTGTGAAACTCGATTGTGTCTCGATTATATTCTAATTAGAATTAATGTTATTCCTTTTAAAACGTTGGTAAACCTACAATACGTATATTATCATGAAAGGGTCAAGGACGGTCGTATGTTTAAAAGTTTTAAATTTTTATAAAAAAGATGCATTTGTTTTTTTTATTGATAATTTAATTCTACATTCTCGAAATCAAATAATTTCATACTCTTAATTTTTTAATAGAATTTTTTAAAAACTCGTATATCTAAAATAAAATTTAATATTCGTTCTCATATATTAAAATAGTGTTTAATGTTTGATATCGTTTAAGCGGGTCTTGAGTTCGAGATCTTATGTATATAGAAAATCCTCGCTAGAAGATTCATCCATCAAAATCAAATGTGCGATATGGGTCAATTTGAATTAGTCAGAACAAATCCCTAAAAACCGAAAATGCAAAAAATGAAAATAAAAAAACGTGTTTAATGTCTGAATACTTTGGCCAAAGAAATGGTCGTGTTTGGATGTTAATAATACGATACTGTCACGACATACATGGTGAATGAGGAAAAACCTTACCATTTTGTCTTGATCAAATGGAAGTCAAGAAACCATGGAATCTGCAAAACATTTCGGCCACGGCCCACGGGTTTTGTAAGGATGTTACGAGAGCTACTTTGGTTGACGCCATTTTGGATTTTAGAACCCGAATAATTTGACTAAATGCACTCCAACCAATTTCATTAGGAAAAAGAAAAAAAGCTTAGATCCAGGTAATATGGTTTTTAGATTAATATTTATATAATTTCTTAATCAAACTTAAATGAGATTTCAGTAGGGTTAAGGTTAAAAAAAGAAAATTTATTCGAGCTTGATCTTAGAATAGGTCTAGATCGATTTAATTAAAAATGAGTAAAATTCGATTCAATAAATTTTAAAAATTTATATTTTAAAGTTATTTAATTTTTCAAACCAACTCAAATACGATTTTTAAATTTTTGAGTCCAGGTAAAATTGAATTTTTATAATTCGAATATTCAAAAAATAAATAATAGATTGATATAAACACCTCTTAAACTATTGACAAATTTAAAAATAAATAAATTAGTCTCTGTCAACAACAAAAAAATTATAAATAATCACGTCACACAAAATATACACGTTACTCGTGCAAAAAAAATAATAATTAAATTTTCGAATAAAATAAAATTCATCAACGCAATTAACTCACTTCGTATATTAAAGATTGATTCATCCAAAAACGGTATCGTCAGTGGAAGTCTATTTGCTTCATCATCATCATTATTATGCAGAAACACAGTTCGCATTCTTATTTAGAGGCTAACATTGAGGGAGAAAACAATCCACGTCGACCTCCGGCCGAGGATTGGACTCTATTTATGAAGCAAAGTCTACCCTTTTCTTATCAAGGAACCATCTTTTATAAAACAACATGACCACAGTCTTTAGGCATCTAAAACGGAACCGCATAATCATCATAATCCGGCAGCCTTTGTATAAAAGTGCTAAGCTCAGGTACTTACTGGCTTCTGGCGTTTTCCGACATCGAAATGAACGTCCACGAGACCTGTTATTCCGGCAGTAATCTTTTGGCCTACCTTTGCAGGGCCAACACCTTGTGGAGTGCCTGCAAGAAAATGAAACCAACAGGGCAAATAATTTAGATTCCAAATGATGAATTGCCTCATTTGTTCATGATCGCTGTACAGTAACTGGTCTTTCAAATCAGAAGTTTATGTAAAATGGACTGAAACAAATGGGGTGTGCTAGAAGCTATAAAGAAACCTATGTTATCCCGATTTTCTTTGTTCTTTTTTTAAATTATACGTTTGTAAAGCCGATTTCCGACACATATCTGGACATAACTACGGAGATGATCTTCCAAAAACTCTCCAAATGCATGAAAATATTAGGGAAAAAATAAGGATACCCATATAGGATATACATCCATGTCCAACACTCGCAATCAAGTCAAAGTAACATAGAAAGAAACTATAGCACCCAATCAGCCCGTCACGCCATATCTCACTACACATGCATGGAGTAATACAGAAAATAAAGATGAGAAACATGAAAACACAAATTTGAAAATCTAAACATGCGCCAGAAGCAAGAAAAGAGTCCTATGATTAACCGAATGAACCACATTTTTTCTCAAAATTAAATCGAACCATTATTACCACAAATGACCATAAAGCAAGTTCAATATTCTAAAATTAAAGTGAAAGAAGAAAAGTAGGGTAGAAGTGAATGCTATATAACCTGTTAATATGGTATCTCCTTCAAAAAGGGTCATTATGGAACTTATGTGGCTAATGAGATAAGGAATCTTAAATATCATATCCTTGGTGGAACCCTTTTGTCGTATTTCTTCATCTACCTGTGATGAAAAAGAAATGTATCAGACTTGGATCAGTTTGAAGACAACGGTAACAAGTTTACAAATTCCAAAAGTACACAAATTGAAAGGTGAATAACAGAACGTTGGTATATATACCTTCAACCACAGTTCCAGGTTGTCTGGATCAGGCACCATGGACAATGAAAGCTGCAGAAAACTTTTCCATTCAGCAAACTTTGGATGATATATAACATGATAGAACAAGAGGAAGAGCAGCTATTCTCCTCAGTCCAGCTTGGGTGTGAGAATTGGATAAGGGTATGCATCCAAAACGGGTATGTTTAATTGTTTTTCAAGATTTTTAAGAGAGTTCTTGAAGGAACATATCCCTCTATATCAATGTTTAGATATGCGTTGGACACAAGTACTTCAAGAAAACGAAGGGTCGGAACAAATAGTTCAACATTGATTTACCAAGAAGCACATCTAAAAGGTTAAAAGACACTCATCTTCTGGTCAAGATCTTGAAAATTAAATTGGACATAATGTACTTAAGAGAAAAGAGAAAGATGAAACTATTTCAATCTTATTTCTTACGACAGAACTGATTGGAGTGAAGGTGTCTTGCCCTTTAGCAACTGTCCATGGAAGACCTGCAGACTGACAAAAATGATAGAACGGAACATTAACTCAAACAATAGATAAGTAGAATAGTGGAAAGATACATGTGATGAAATGAACATATAAAAAGTAGATGGTTAATTGGTTATAAGCTTTTTCGTTTAACGCAATCATCCAAAAGGATACTTGTTGCATTTCCCAGGAAAATAAATTCGTTTCAAATACTGTTAAAAAGAGAGAACTTCAAACTACTTTTGAGGTTTCAAGGTTGCTGAATGACTTCTCCAGTTTATGTTCCTCATCTCTAATGTTTTGATCCACCAACGAAACGAGTAAAATAGCCAAAAGACAGAAATGGGAGAACATCCAAATGCAACAAGGTCTCATTCTAACAGTAAACCTACGAATAATTAATTTCATAGTAATAGGAAAGCGTGTCCCACCGAAACAAAATTTGTAACTTGTCATCTTGTCCAATGGGTTAAGGATTCACCTCCATGGAAAAGATGAATCGTTAGATGTGAAGTAACAATGCCTTTACAAAATGTACATGGGAGCTTAATATGACTAAACTTTGTACCTTTGCAACAGATTGGATTTCTCTTGCAGTCATATCCAATGCTAAAGCATAGCCTGAAGCACACAAAACCGGTCATTTCAGCATCAAATTGATCCTAATCTATGTAAATTGTTAATGTGCAAAAAGGGGGAAAAGGGAAAGGAAATGTGTTAAAATCCAATTTTCCACATTCAATACAAATCAATCATAAACCTTATCAAAATAATAAAATAGAAAACTCGAGCTTCTAAAGTAAACTACACATACAAAATAAGTAGTAATAAGCACATCATATGATCCACATTGCAGCTAAAAGTTTGCTCTAGGATCAATATTAGTCACATAAAAAAATGGGATCTTGAAGAAACCAGTGAAAAACTGGGTTTTGGTATTTTTTATTAAATTATTTCAGTAGGAGATTGGATTTGGACTTGCTACCTCTTATTCATACATTAAATATTATGCAATCAAGTTACATGCATGTTTTTATTAACTAATTACCATGTAAAATTCTTAGTTAATACCAAAATCACATCTTTAACGTTTAACTTACATTTAATTGAATGATGATCCTTAACCAACAGAGATTTGACTTCCCATCCCATTCTTTGAACTTTACTCTTTTGAACATATTTTTGCGGAAAAAAAGGATATCTCAAGAAGCAAGATCTTAGACCCATTTCCACTTTGAGCTTATCAGTCCCAAAGCTTTCCCTTTATCCCATAAAACATCAGTCTTTCGATTTCGATCAGAAAATGATTCGAAATTACCTCCAACATAATTCATAGCGGTTTTTTCAGGCACATCCCGAGCCGTTTTCCCCATCACAACAGCAAGCTCAACTTCATAATCCAACGAATTCAATGGATGTGGAACCGCAATTGTCCCTCCATTTTCTAAATACGATGATGTGGGCTTCAAAAACAATACTGGCTCCTGTGTAACGCAATTTCGATATCATTTTTTTAGTTCGCATCGGAAACAAATCAGCAAAATCTGCTCTTTGAATAAAGGATAATAAACGGGAATTGTATACCTTGGGGACGGCGTTGCCTAGTTCTTTGGCGTGCGCAGCGTAGTTGCGGCCAACGCCGACGATTTTAGTCCCGAGTTTCAGGAGATTCTGCAAAGATCCTGCGGCCACCATGTTTTGATTTTCTTCCTTTTCCTGGGTTCAGACTACAGAGATTTAAAAAGAGAGTAGAAATGACCAACAATACCGGGCTTTAATAATCCTCTTTTTGGTAAAACTAAATCACAGGTCACTTAACTTTACTGAAATGATTTTATAATCATTAAACTTTTGAAAATTACAAAATAGTTATTAAATCTATCGAATTATTATAAAACATCATTGTGAAGTTACAAAATTATCTTTTAAAATATCCAACTTTTAGAAAATGATCATTAAATTATCAAATGTTATTATTATTTATAATATTGATGTGATCCTTTTATAATGATTTGATAAATTTAACGATAATTGTGTAACTTTTAAAAATTAAATGATCAAAAAGATCATTTGAATATAATTACTTAATAAATATAAATTTGATTTTTAGGGGGAAAATCAGAACATATATATCGTGTTAAATCTAAAAGATTTTAAAAAAAGTAAAATAAAGTCAACAATTTATAGAGTATGTGATTAAAAGCTATCAATTAACACATTTTTCTTTTCCTAGGCTGTGAGTTAAATAAATAGAAATAACCATCCAGCTCAGTTGGTAGAGCACAAGGTTCTTAATCTTGAGGTCGTAGGATCGAGTCCCATGGAGGACATATCATAATTTGAAGGTCTTCTGCGAAAGTTGCTCTCAACCTAGTGTTAGGGGCAACCTACTATCTTACCTCCCCTCTTATCTTATTACATATGGGAACAAGGGACAACCATTTTGAGTTAAATAAATACCATTAGGAACAAAAACTCTTCTAAGTAGAAATTTTTCAACAAAAAAAATAACTGATTGAATTCGTTTGAACAAATGAACAAACTTTTAGCAAATTATAGAATCAAATATTGAAATATTCTAATTCGATCTTTTTTTATTTTATAAATTATTTGAATAGCTTGAGAATGATGGAAATAATATTTGCAAATGCAGGAAGACCCAAAGGGTAAATAGAAACTATATTTGATTACTCTTAGCATAACATGCATACATACATATATCTGTATATGGGAAGATGTTTGATGAAAGAAGATGGACACTTTCATGGTGTATATGGAAAAAGATGCAAGCAAAAACCTTAACTTCCAAGACTACTCTTCATCTTAACTGGTCTTGCCTTGTATGCTAATGTCGAACTGATCCTAGGATTTGAATTGCGGTCGCAGATGCGTCTTTCGCAGAAATAATAGATGTTAAACAATCTGAGTAGGAGCAAACTCTTGCACACCATACAATGTCAAAAAACTAGACTCGCAGGCATACCTATACATTGTCAATGCCAGAGTGTTCGTGTTCTGAATCAATCAGCTTTCAATCTCAGAATTTCCTTGGCTGTGCTTAGACGAAAATTGGGCATGTGTTTCTACAAAAAAAAAAATGTTGACACTGAATCATCATTTTGCTTTCATTTCCAGAGAAACTTCTACCGAGCAGCAATCTGTGCAGTGGATGCCCCGGCGAAGACATTCATAAAAGTTTTTCTAAGTGATCAAAGAAAATAATTGGACTCCATGTTCTTCTGCCTCTCATATTATTGCAGATGAACACAACACATTTTACATCCAAAAGACAATTTATCTAACTACTGCAGTTTAATCACATAGAACAAATGGTATATAGGGGAATTATGAGCATAGTACATCACTGCCTACAGGCATACCTGATCAAAACAAAGACTTAAACCTCTGCTATAGAAGTCAATATATTTTAACATAAACATCCCGCAGTCAAACCTGTACAAAAAAGGAAAACTGTTTAGGGAAACCAATCAAACCCCAATATGCAAGGTACATGAAACTAGCAGTTACAGTTTCATTAACTAATTATGAGCACCCTGGGGAAAAGGTGCTGTAATTACTAACTTAATTAGGCTCCCTCAAATATTTGGAGCCAAAGGATTGTATACTTATAAAGTTACGGCTATGTTACTCAAACTTGGGTGTTAGTGTCGGATAAGAACACGAGTTTAAAATGGGGGTGTTCAATTTTCTAAATTTTTCCATTTATTTGGAGGGTACTTGGAAGGTCATATCTCCATGCCCATGCTGAAAATGTGCTGGACATGATAATTCAAGAAAAATAAAGAGTTGTAACAACACAGAGCTACAGCGTAATACATTACTAAACAATATAATTTTTTTTCAACGTAATAAGCTCATGAAGAATACGTATTTCAAGAAACAATCTCTAATAAATACACACCCATTCTTCTGTGCGGGAAGGTCTTCAACATATTCTTGTTCCCGAGAGCTTACATCGATGTCCTCTCCACTCTTGTCCCTCACTTCTTCAACAAAGTAATTTGCCTAGCACATAACAACGAATATTAAACAAGTTTCTCAGAGGTTCCAAAAATCGTGTATATAACCATATAAAGACCCGCCAAATACATGGAAAACCTAACATAGACGTGTCGGGTACATACTCCGATCCAACATTCAAACCAAATTCCAAATAACATAGAGGAAATTAGTCTTGTAATTAACAGGATCTTAAACACCAAATCCTCTTACATTAAACTACCTAATGCACTTTAAATCAATTAATCACATGCATTCAGAATAATTAGACACCTAAAGAGAAAAAATGCAACCGAAAATCATACCAATGCATTCAGCACTTCAGCATCTCTTCCTCTCAGTGAATCAAGATACTGGAACTTTTGATCTTTCTTATTGATAACTGCCAAGCGCCAATGTACATCTTTGTGTATCGGTACAAATATCTAAGCAAAACGGGATAATTGATTAAAGGATAAACAAAGCATTCTATCACACAATGATTATAGGGGAAAAAAGGAACAAATACTTACTTTATCATAATCAAACAGGCAGTACCCCAACTTTCTTTGTGAAGTCCACCTTTTGACACCTTTATAATTATAGGCACTCTCCGGATTCAGTAACTAAGAATCAAAATGCAGAAGGGAAAGGTAATTCAGAAACAGTTAGTTATGAAGACTTAAACAAAAGAGCAAGTAAGGAAAACGAAAATCGAAACAACCTTTTTGTAGAATAAGGTGTTGAAGAAATGACATTTAAAAAACTTCTTCGGCTCGCTGTTTTCCCTTTCTTTCAATAATTCGAGATAGAGATTAATGACCTGCAAAAGAGAAATTAAATTTGTGTTCAAACTGGATTACCATCTGACTAAATTGAAGTACATCCTAATTGACTGCAGAAAAATTAACGAAACCTTCAAATGACTACTATCTATCTACTATACACAGCACAAGATATAACACTGAAAGAAAATGAAATTAACCTCATCATTCAACCATGTGTCTGGTTTCAGACATTGCAAAACTTCACCTCGAATATCAATGCTTGAATTCTCATGAGAGACCAATATCCTCTTCCTGCAAAAGCAAGCACAAAATATTTTCACCACAAAGTGTTCATCCAATCAAATAATCAAACACTAACAAAAACATTATTACAAACTTGTTTCTTGCAGAGAAAGCATAGGGAACATCTGTCATTTCTTCCTTCGTAAGAGGGTCAAAAAGTTCACTAGTTATAACCTGAAATTTGATACAAATGACAAATTCAATTCCAAATATTATGAAAAAATTTACAATTGCCAACAACAATGGAACTGAATTAAAACATTAGTAAACAAAAGAAACCTCATGGTCCAGTGACAACTTATCGAATGCATTCACCATTATCGAGTTCGCATTGTCCAACTCAGTCATCCCAGAAGGAGATGATGGCTGAAAACGCCTCTCTTCTTCCTCCACATTGTTCTTCCTTTTTTATTTCTCTTCATTATCCTCCTCCACAGTAAGCTCTTCTTTTTCCTTCTTAAAGTACCTAAAAGTATCAACAGCTTGCTTTCTCGCACAACTATATCTCTCACTCAAATTTAGGAGATTTGATAACCCAAATTGAAGGTGACAAACAGGGGCATGAACTTCTCTAGGGAAATTCTGTTTAGCAACTGGGTAACGAGAGAGTCTCGAAACGGTGCCGTTCGACCGGGAAGTCGATTTTTCCGGGACTTTGATCCATCAAAGAAAATCTGGATTTTTCGGAAAGCTGAAAATCTAGGAGATTTGAATGTAGGGATTTGTTTGTGTGATTGCAATGGGGACTGAAACATTCATGAAAAAATTTAACAATTCTGAACTCCGAAAAATGAACAACCATTTGAACAAAAAGATGAAAAGGGAAAAGATTTAGGAAGGACCTTCAAAACCAAAATCACCAATTCAAGTCGGATAGTGAACCCCAGAACTTGAACGACCTAAGTGATATTTAAACCCCATACAAAAGGTAGGATTTTTCAACTTCCCAACAGCGAAAATGAAAATTGTAACTCGACTTCGTACTCTGTATAGTGCTCTGCGTTTTTATTAATGATTAAATTACACTCCTGACAAAATTTGATTTCAATTTGATTAGGTTACTAGACTTTCAATTTGATTAGGTTACTAGACTTTCAATTTGATTTCAATCAGATCATTAATCAACCATTAATTACAAATAAAATTATTGATATAATAATTAAACAAATTTTATAATAATATATTTGTTTTTATTAATTATGTATTCTATTAAATTAATCTTAATTTTAAATAAATCAATAAATTTAATATTTTATATTAATTTGATTATAAAATTTTTCATCGTCCCTCATCATCCCTAAACACTTCGTTAAACCTTGCTCTCGTTCCACCATTGAAGATTCTTAAAAACAAAGTTATACCATTGATGAACAACAGATTTAGATTATTCAAGTGTAATAATGATTTGATGAAATTGATGATGGATTAAGACTGTTATTTTATATCAAATGGTGATAGACGTTGTGTATTAATGTAACGAGGATGATAAAATTTTGATGATTAATTATTGATAATGACTATAATTATTTGTGACAGGAGTTTGTGTGGTGATGGAAATAGATAAAAATGGGTACATAAATCTAAATTCGATAAAGTATGTTCAAATTCGATCGACATATTCTTTTAAAGAAAAATTAAATTCGGGTCAAAATGAATTTGTTAGATTATGAATTCAGGTCTATTCAAATTTAAATTTAAGATAAAATATATCTAATCCGATTTAACTCAAAACATAAAATAACTTATATATTTAAAAATATTAGATAATAACAATAATATTAATCTTTATATTAACTTTTTCAATTAAATTTTAACTTTATCAAATAAAATTAAAATTTATGTATATACATTCTTTCTATCCCATTAAAAATTATATTCAAAATATCTTATAAGAAAAGTTTATAACAAGTATATAGTTTTTTCATATTTATTTCATTCTTTTACATCTATCAAAACAAAGCTATTAAATTTAATGATCATATTTTAAACTTAATTTTATTATTCCTCTCATTTTATGCCATTTAGTATGTAATTTTTTTTAAATGATCGACATATGACAAAAATTATGGGATGGATAAAGTGTTTATATATATGGACTAGATCAGATGTAACTTTTATCTAAAAAATGAGTTGAATTTCTAGTCGAGTAAAATCACTCAAAACTTAAATTAGATCAAACTTCAAATAGAAAATATAATTTTAGTAAATTGAGTTTACCCAAAATTATCCTAACCCATAAAAATAGATAATGGATTAAACGATTAAATATAGTGATTAGAATTGAATAGGGAACTTATGTTGAATAAATCTACCAAATAAATTGTGTTAACGTATCATATTAAACTGTTGTTAAATAAATAGCAGAGACAGATGTCACACTGAAATATTAATGATCGTCGGTGTAATTTAACTTAAAACTAATTTTTAATTAAACACACCGACTTCACATCTTATCTAAATTTGAGGCATTAAACATCCAATTATTTTTCATCAATAAAATTTTACTTTTATTGGGCCCTTTTGTCCGAAATCTCAGACAAAAACTGGAATTCAAAACCACAAAAATCTCATATTTGCTTAAAAAACCCAAAAATAAAAATAAAAAAAAAACTAAAAATACCACCAGCCTAAACTCCACATCGAATTCATGCACCCGAAAGATTTAGACATGAAAGAGTAAATCCAGTAAAAATAAATAAAATGGAATTATAAATGAAATTAAATCCACAAGATATTTAATCGAATAATCTTCAAATTTATACCAGTCACTTGTTTTATATACGAATTTGATAAAAATTCGGGAAAATATATAAACAACAATTCATCTAATCAACATGACAACAACACACAATTAAAAATCAAACAATATTGTTATTTTTAATATTAAAAAATACTTAAATAAATTAATCTACCGCCGACATCGTGTAATTCTACTGCAGCCGCGTGAGTAGGGATTTGCCTGAGCTCCAGGTCGGCAGTTGTAGTATGATGCACCACGTCGGGAACACGGCACTGTGTTTCTCCTCAGCGCACCGTAGCTGATGTACCGAGTAGTCGCTAGAATGCGTCTGCTGATCTCGGATCCCATGGCGAACTCGGCTTCGAAATCCGAAGAGTCCTCCCCGCCTTGCATCAGGCACTCGGCGATGGACCCGCTGCACTCCGATTTGATCGGGAGGAAGTGGCCGCCGGCGAAATCAAGCGTCGGAGATGAAGCTGAAACCGCCACATGGACGGCCAGGATAGCGCAAATCGCGAGGAAAATGGGGATTCTAGAGCGTCGCATTTTGTTGGGGTTGTGGAAATTAAGGGATGCACCGAGGAAGGCAGGCTTTTAAGTTTATAAGCAATTGGTATTAAGAGACTACCACTGAAATTTGAATTTATTTGCGATGATGCCACTTTACTTTAACGTGAGCGGCTCGTCTTGTAATTTATGTATCAAAATCCTTTTATGGACATCCACTAACCGTAGTTTGACTTTTTTACCTCATATGTTTTTAAGTAAATAAATAATCAAAATGAAAAAGAAAAACAATAATGGGATAATATTTTAAGGCATCGTCATTGGATTTTAATTATTTTTAAAAAATATGATATTTACCAAGTCTTAATACCTTTAATATAATAAATAAAAAAATATATGATCGAATATGTTTAAATATAACAAATATTATATATATATGATCAAATATATTTAAAATTTTAATATTTTTTATTAAGTAAAGAATATTGTTATTAAATCAAATGTCGGGATTCACTCTCTCACAAGGTGATAAAACATAAACATCATTGATCACTCGACCAATTAATGGTTCTCTAATATTCAATATCTTTTAACTTATATATAGTAATTAATGTAAATAATATAAAAATTGTAAGAAATTGTTTTAAGAAAATAAAAGAAAAAAATAAGTGGCCAAGTTTACCAATAAGTGACAACCTTATTATCAAATCTACAAGTGTGTTCGTAATCAATGATGAGATATATGGAAAGTGGGAAAAGCTCTTATTTATTCCAAAATTTGTAATTTAATAATATTTCAGGATTCTTGTCGATTTTTGTTTGTGTAATACTAAATTTTTATCTCGTCTAATTTTTTTCAGATTATACGACCAATAAAGTTCTATTGTTTTAAACTTGAGAAACGAAATATAATTGAATTAATTATTTAATATAAAAATATTAAACGTATATTTTGAATTAAGGTTAGGTTTAAAATTATTTATAAGTTGAGCATTTAAAACCAAAAGCATAATAATGAAGTGTGGCAACTAAGAGCCCTTTAACGGACAACTAAGATGAGAGTGTTGATAGTTATAGGTCTTGAAAGAAAGAAAAAGAAATGTATATTTTCTCGTCTTCCAAAATCATGTGAATGCAAAAGGAGATTTAAATGCTAAAATCCTCCATGTGTCGCGTTAAGCAATTAGCGACAGATTTTAAGCGCGTTTTGATGCTGATTGATGGCATAAAGGGGACGCTCACGTCTTTTTCTTGCGGCACTAAAGTTTGTTTTCTTTTTCTGACTAATCATATTTTATAGCAAACGATTGGAATAGGAGAGATTTTCTGATTTGGATTGGAGAATTTTGTTCATACGGTAAATTTACTGAAATTATTTATGAGTTATTTGAATTTGATTTGATAAATTTTTAATTTTATTTATTTGTTATTAAGTTAAACTCAGATTTGAATTGTTATATTGATTAGTCAAATAAAATTTGAGTTTGATTTTTAACTGAAGTGATTGAAATTACGATATTTGATTTATTAATTAATTAATTTTGATCGAGTACTATAGAAGTTCAATACAGAGTTATTATTTCGATCTTATATGCTCTACTAAAAAACGTCAGAATCTGAACCTCTGACATTCTTTAAGTGATATAGTCCAATTGTTTTTTTACTACTTATATTTGTCTTTATTTTTGTTTTTGGTTATCTAACTTCAAAACTTTTAATTTCATCATTCAATTTAAAAATCTCACTCCTTTTTTTTGTTACATTTAAGTATTTAACATTAGCACCAAAATGATGAATTGAAATTACATAAATATTTTATAACGATAGAGGGACATAAAGTTTAAATTTGATAAAAAAATTAAAACAAAATAAAATTTAAAAATGAGAAAAATATATAAATTTGAGGGACTAATTTGAAAAAACAACAACAATTTATTATATAAAAAAGAGGGATTGAGCTTACATAAATGTTCTACAATGATTTACGAATATGTGAATCAAAATTGACAACAAATTAACTTAAAATTAAGTCAGAGTTGAAGAAATAAAAAAAATCGAGAATCAAATCATAAAACATGCTAAAGAAAAAAACATCGGTTTAATTTTTAACTTTTTAATTTTTCAAATTTTATAAATTTTAAATCCAATTCATACTCGAAATTCAAATTAATTTAAATAACTTTAATAATTTAAAATTAAATTAAAATGTATTAATCTTTATATCCATTAACATAGAGGCCCCAATTGAACACCACATATATGCATAGAGATGTACACAAGACTCGACAAGTTTCTGACTTGATCTGATCTTATTGAGTCGAGTTTAAAAAAAAGTAGATTTGGATTAGGTCGGGTCAAATTTTTTAGAGAATAAGTTTGGATAGAGTCGAAGTTGAGTTTTATGATGAAAAATACTCGATTTAACCTAACCTGACTTGAAAAATAATAAAATTATACCTTATATATTTAGAGATAGTTATTATAGTACAAATCTCTATATTATTTTTTCAATTATATATCTATTTTATCAAATAAAATGAATAATTTTTCATACATATATTTGTTTCGGATCGACTTCAGGTTTTATATTAAAATACGTATTGAGTTTCAAGTCTTATGAAGTCACACTAAATCCGGATTGAATCGAATTTTGGGTCGATAATATATATTTTTAGGTTGAGTTTGAGTAGCCGGAAACCCAACCCGGCCCGAGCCATACCCATTATTATGTATGTAGTTTGGTAATCAATGTCATGAACTTTGGGCCGTTGGACCTATTGACATAAACCATGGCTCTGATGGACCTAACAAGACTCCATAATTCGAACCCAGGTTTTTATGATTCACTGTAGAGACTTCATTGGCTTTATTGCTACCACCACCTGCGCATAATTCCCACCACTAAAGCAGATAAGTCCACCGGCTATTTGTAATTTCGAACAGTTCGTTGGATAACTCGGTTTAATCTCAAAAGAGGGGGTGGGGGGGACAAAGTGAATCCGGGATCGTTTATTTACAGCTTGTGGCTCAAGGAACAATGATCTTGGCCGAGTACACCGAGTTCTCAGTGTTTCCAAAAACTCCCTTCTTCTAACAAGAAATTTACTTGCAAAAACTAATTATAAAAGCAGTTAAACACATGAGAGACAACAAAGGGGTATTTTTTGCTTGTTGTCCCATCCTTTGTGGATGGGACCAAAAGAAAGAAGCTAAGCTTTTCCTCTTCTTCCCCATCATCTTCTTTTATGACTTCCATTATTTTCTTTTTCTATTTCTCCCACTTTCTCAGGAAACAAACAGCTCAACTGGAAGGGAATTGACTACTCAATATCAATGTATCATTGCAGCCCATTCAACCAAGGATGGGCTTCGACTGCCATAACCGACTGAAATCAAAATCTAGAATAATTTTTTCATACTTCTTTTTCGAAGTCAAAAATAAAAATCTTTGATGGGATTTTGTTTGCAATTCAACACGTGTTGATAAGACCCTTATCCACACGAGTTTATAGTGCCTGTAAAAATAAAAATTGGGCTAAGATTTAAAGGAGCACGTGCTTGGAACTCTTCCTGGCATTACCCAAAAATTCCAAATATTTCTGTGGAGTATTGTCATTAATACTGAAATTTAAGGTAAAAGATTAAATTATTTCAAATGTTTGTGTATATGGATATTTGTCTATATGTACGTACCATACGTAATATACATTCATTTACTCAGTTTTATCGACTCTTGCAAGTTGGCAATTTTTATCTAAAGGGATCACATTATCCTTCCATGTATATTCGATAGACCTACACGTGACATTACCATGAGATCGTACCATATTTATATATTTTATAGTGTTATAAATGTTATTATATTTATGTAAATTTTAAGATATTAATAACTTACATCTGTATAAATTTTAAAAAATATATATATTATATTTTATTTGTATCGTATTTGTATGTTAAAATTTTAATATTAGAAAATTGCCGTTTTTGTGAATGAATTATTTGTGTTATCAATATTTATTATAATTGATCGAGATAACATATTCGACGTGTTTGTGATAAAAAAACATTACAACAAATATGGAATGAATTATTTGTGTTATCAATATTTATTATAATTGATCGAGATAACATATTCGACGTGTGTATAACTAGGGATGGCAACTCAACCCGAATCCGATGGGTTCCGACCCGACCCGATCGGGTCGGATTTTTTTTAAAAAAAATCGTGGTCGGGTCGGGTCGGGGTTTTTTTTTAAATGTACTGTTCGGGTCGGGTCGGGTCGGGTTTAGGGTGAAAAAAATCCGATCCGACCCGACCCGAAAAATATATATAATTTTATCCTATATATTTAGGGATAATTACAATAATGTCCCTCCATATATAATTTTTTTCAATTAAATCACTGTTTTCATTGAATAAATTTTTTTTATTATTATTTCGGGTCGGGTCGGGTCGGGTTTCTAAGTCATATATTCGGGTCGGGTCGAGTCGGGTGAAACCTTAATTTCGTCAGGTCGGGTCGGATCACGGGTGAAAAACCCTTTCTTCTCGGGTCGGATCGGGTGGCCCAAAAACCCGACCCGACCCGACCCATTGCCATCCCTATGTATAACTAGGGAGGATGACTTTGTGATCAATATATAAATAATCGGACATTAACTTTATTAACCCTAATCTAACAAACCACCCAAGCTTTAAACAAACCAATAAAGAAGAAAAAGATTGAAGATGAAATTACATATCCCTAACTTCGAACACATTACGATTTTTTACGACAATATCGTACATGTGCATAGTTTTAAATTTATTGAAAACTTTGGGAAGCGAAATCAAATGAATAGTAGATCGTTTGTGAAATTGAAGAAGATCATGATTACCATAGTATCTTTCCCATCCTAGAGATAATAACATACGTTCGAGGACACGTAGGAAGTGATCACTTCATTAGACGGTGTATGTATAAGAAATTTTTGACTGATGTTCAAACCTTGTCAGCTTCCATCTAAAGTGTCAGCCCCAAGATTCTCGACTAGACGAACCACGCCGTTCTTGAAAACCC